GTCCTGTTGTGGTTAAGAACACTGTGTTTGATTCAGATAGCAAAATTATGTCCAGTGATCATGTAGAAAATTCTGTTGACTGTTTATAATCTCAAATGTTAGGAAATGTATTGGTATGCAAATATCACTATTTTCTAAGGTCCTGAAACTTTTCCTAAGCAGAAAGTTGTGTCTTCCAGTGCAGATTGTGATTTTGCAAATACAATCAGGCTTTAGACAGTAGCAAGAAATACAAGACTTCTGTTTGGAGACCTTGTTTCAATATTGTACCATTTCTCAAGAACAAGAAAAATATCAATGCACTCAGGCACTTCAGTTGTTTCTGAGTGTTGTTGCAGTCCAAATATTCAATAAGGAGCTTGTTTATAAAGCTGAACTATAAGGTCTTCAAATTCAAGTAAGTCACATGCCTTTTTATCTCAAAGGTAGAACTGTATGTTGCACTAACCAAATTAACTGATCTCTGAGGCAAGTTAAATGGCAGGTGCAAGTATCTGCAAGATACCTGTATAATTAATCTCTGCTTTTAGGGAGGTCTCACCCCTCTCAAACCTCTTGAGAGGTTTCAAGAGATTGCAATGTATCATTCCATAGGACTTGACCCTTTGAAATATACTCCTAAAGAGAATTTAAACTGCTATTTCTTGCTCCTTTACAAAGGGCTGTGTTACGTGTGACAGCAGGGAAGCAAGTTGTGAGGCTGCAGTGGCTGCTGACAGCACGGAGAACAAGGGAGAGCCACCTCCAGTCCTGCCACGCTGAGGACATCAGCACCTGTGTCAGTGCAACTGCTTGGTGTCATTCCCACCCTCTTCCCTCTGGCTTTTCCCTCTGCCTTTGCTCCATACCAGCAGCGAGTCTCCATGGCCATCCCTTACCAACATGAGCAGTCACACATGAAACTCCATCTTCCTCCACTGCCCCTCCACTCCTGGCATGACTCTGAAGACAATCTTTCAGTGGGAGGCTGTTTCACCTTCTGACCTCGCAGACTTGACACAGAATGGGTTATGTTTGTAACCTTTAACTGCTCAATGATGAGCAAAATACAAAGATTTTTTTTTTTGGTTGGGTTTTTCTTTTGAAGTTAGCAAGTAAGTGTGAGAAGATGCAGTGTTTAAGAACCTGTGGTGATGAACCTGCTAATCAGAACATGTTTACTCTTCAAGTAAGGTGGATGTATTGAAGCCAAGCTACAGTACTCTTCATTTTTGTTCAATATTTAAAGGTCTAAACTAAAGATCCAAATATTCTGAGGCTCTGAAATTGCTGTAGCTGGTTTGAGAATCCAGTAGGCTTTTTAAAGAGCATCTGAAACTGGCTGGGTTATTCTACATCAAATGGCTTTTGCCAGCTTGTGCCCATTGAAAAGAAGTAAACAGAAGTGAAAAAAACTAATTATTCCCTATGTTCTTTGTGATGTGTGTTTTGGAGTCATTTAGCTTTTGAAGTGTGTTTATCAAGGAAGATATATAATTAAGGATAACTGGTTTGCAAATACACCAGACATGAAATTACATACAGCAATTAAAAATACCCAACCAACCCAAAAGTATCAGTCCACAGGCTCTGCTTTTTAAAAACAGACCCATGGAAAATTTTCTCTGTCAAGGCAAGTAGTTATCAATTGAAGTAGTTACATACAATCTTTTATCTTAACCTTGGTAGTGCTTGGGAAGGTGAGTTTGTATCTTAATGTTCTCTTTGTTGAGTGATTAGAGAAGTTGAATCCAGACATAACAAATAGGAAATTATGTAAGCAGTTTCTCTGATTTGTTTTTTTTTTTTGTGGTGATGCCAAAACCAAAAAGAATTAATTTAATTTCTTCTACTTTCAAAACTCACATGTTGTGGAGCTAAACTTAAGCATCAAACCACATATTCATTATTTATTAGCACTGTTGACTTCCTGCATAAAATTTAACCTCTTTCATTGTAATGGAGTCTCTGGCTGTTGAAATCCATGGATGAAAAAGGAGTTTGTAGTTCAGTATGTAAAAGGACTTGTTTTTATTAATGTCTCAAAGTGCTCTTCAAACAGGACATGCTTGGCTAAAAACCTGGTAAATTTTGTCTGATTTCCCCTCTGTTTATCAAAAGCTGGATGTAATCAGATTTTCCTTGTGATGTTATTAATCACCTTAGCTTTCTCAGCAAAGAGTTTTAGAATGTAACACATTATTTACCCTTTTGTTCTGTGTAATCTTTTTGCTGCTGTGTGAAATATTTTCATTTCTCTAGTTTCAGTTACTGGTAAGCTTCAAGTAAGATACTGTGATCTGCAGGTCATTGAAGGAAAACTATATTTATCTAAAGGTTTCTTTACTTGTAAAAGTCAATCCAGTGGCAATCTTTATTGTTAAAGTTTATTTTAAGGAAAGTTATTTTTACAGAATTTTGAGTTTTCAAGGCTAATTTGACTCAGGCAGCATTCTTTTTATGGGTTTGAGGATTTTTTCTGTGTTTTTGCCTGTTCTGTTTATACCTGTTGGTTTCTATTTATTCTTCAGCTACATTTCTTTGTCTTTCAGTTTTTTCAGCTTGAACTTGGTTTTTTTCCTTGTGTTGTAAATCAGCAGAGATCCACACATCCTCAGTACTGTTTGTGTTCAAACTTCAAACACCTCTTAAAATAAGAGACTTCAGTAGGTGTTTACATGTAGCAGGTCGTGTATTCAAGTAGGAAGATGTGGGCAATATCTTACACCTTTCCTAGTCTTTTTACAGCATTTTCCAAACATGGTATTCTGCTTTATAAGCACACTGCCTGAAATATTTGCTCTAAAACATGTAATCAGATACTTTGTGTAAAGGTTCTTTCTTGATTGGGAAGCTTCTTAATTAACTTATCTGTCAAATTAGACTTATTCACTAGAATCCATTCTACTTAGCTGTGCTTAAAATGATTGCTTCAATGCATTCTGAGATTTAGTGAAATAGATTAAATTTAATATTTTGGGTAAGGACAGCTGTCTCTTTCAAAATAGCTTGGAACCCTAAGCCAGAAGGAATGTTATGAAAACAGTAGACTCTTTTGTGTACATTATTTTTATTTCCTGAGTTTGAAAGTTTTGTTTATTTCCCAAGTAAGAAAATGAGCTGATTTGCAATGTCTTATCAGGTAGACATGTAATTTCTTTTGTAAAACAGTAAGACTTAGTTCAGGAGAATGGCAATATGTACCTAACACTTGAATAATGCTTTTGATCTATAGGTCCATGAACATGTCAAAAAGATGACCATTATTATCCCAGCTGCATAAAAAGAGGCAGAGACACAAAGGTGCATACCCACAGTCTGTTCCAAGCTCAGGAGTAAAATCTGGGAGTCTTCACTTGCTGTCTTTGCTACAGGTGATCAAGATTCTGTATGTGGAAACCTGATCATATTACCTGTGTTTCTTGTTTGAAGATGTTAACCCTTCTTGTCCCCACCACTGCTGTGAATTTGTGCCCAGTAGAACCACTGAACAACAGCCCAGACCATTTTTGAATTGCTGTGAATACCATAGAGCCTCTGGCCGTATATAATGAAAATTCATGTGCCTAGGAGTTTGAATTCCAAGTTTGTAATCCTGGCTAAATCTTAGATGCAGCATCCCTTCTCTGGGGCTACACATTTCCTGGGTTATGGAAAAAATTATGGTGTAGGAGAATAATGTAAGAGGAGTAAACAGATGAATTGGTACCCTGTGTGATGATGAGACAATTATTTGCCCAAAAATCAAACAGTCTTGGCTGCAAAATCAGCAGGTTTTATCCCCCTACAAGAAAGAAAAACCCCAAACTTTCCCAAAGTACTCTTTACCCTGCTAGAACCACAACTTCATCTTGCAATGAAATGCCTTATCAAGCCTTTGACCTCATTTCCATAAGTTTTCAGGAACTGGCAGTTTTTACTTCAGCTTGTACTAATCTTTCAGCCTCTGTAGTGTGCTGGAGTGATCACAGCAAGATGCAGTTCTGATCAGAAAGGCCAATGGAGTGAGTGTTGCAGCTGGATTTGCACCTGCTGGTTTGTTTCTGTGGCTTTGTTTTGCCTGGCAAAATGTTGCAGACAGTTTAGAGCTGCTTGGAAAATCACTTTTTTAGTGGTCAGAGGGAAGACATGCTAGTACAGCACTGATGCAGTTACTACCCCCTGTGGGGGTGTCAGCAGTTTGGAAACCCTCAGAGGATTTCGCTGGCAATTTTTTTGTTGTTGTTGTTGTATTCATAAATGTAGAATTATGTTTTTAAAAGATGAACTGTTGTGCAGATATTTTCATGGCATTGCTATGAACAGAAGGGACCCTCTTGTATTTTTACAGTGTGGTAAATACTTGCTGAATGAGTAATGTATTGGTAAATTTATCTTCCAGCTGAATCGAGTTTTGAATCACAAATGAATGAATTTTTACATCAGTTGGTAGGAGTATTTTATTGAAACAATATTCAGCTGTGGTTGAATTTACAGTTGTGATTTTAACTGTACACTTTAAAGGAGCATCTGATTTTATAAATAAAACTGAAAAATATGCTGCAAAGAACTGTTCAAATGTGTGTTTATTTTATTGCTGGTAATGTAGAAAATATACTTTTAGCAGAACCCTCAATACCTTTTTTACTTGTACATGGGCTGGAGTACAATGTCCATGGGGTCATGGGTACAATTAAAATAGCCATGTTGTGATTATTTAAGCTGTTTTGTTGAGGGGTCTTGTGGTTGTTTGGTTTTTTGTCACACTCCACCTTGCCACCTCCAGGATATGCTCTTTCTTTTCTCACTGTATCCCACAAGGGCAAACATTTTTTGTGTGTGAAATATTATATTTGTATTTTTAAACTGCTGGAGTTTGGCATGCAGGACTTAAAGCTTCTGTCTGTGATGACTTCTCTAAAAATTTTTTGTTCTAGAGGAAGAATTCATAAGTTTAATTTGTTAGTATGTCTCATAGAGCAAGGAAGTTCTTAACAAATTTCAGAGCAACAATTTGTTAATCTTTTTCTGCTTTAAGGGACTTAACAGAGATGTGATTGATAGTGCTTAAAGAAGCCTGCAGGAGAAAGGCAGAATCACTGCAGGGAGTCCAAGGTACAGCACAAAAGTAACATCACACTGAATTGGAAAAGAAGTAATTTTAGATGAGTAGGTAACTGAACTGCTTCTGATAAGGTAAGTGATACAGTGCCTTGAAATACAGGCATCTTGAAAGTAACATTAGATGTATCATTGCTGAGGGTTTATTGATTTTTTTTTAAAGGGTCACTTGGTATTTTAAGCACTCTTAAAAATGTGAGTCAAATTATCTGTCTATTCCAAAAAAAAATTAGGATAAATGAATGGGCTTGTGAAATGAAAAATGTTCAGGGTGGATCTGTGTTTTTATTCAGAGATCTAGGCTCTTTCAGCCTAGCCACATTTCTGCTTTGTCAATAGCAGTCATCCTCCTGCCAGCTCAAGTTCTGGCTCACAGCTGAAAACCTGCAGTTACACATTTGTGTGGATGTCAGAAGTGAGCTGCATGATGTACTGCTGTATTTTTGGCAGGTGGTGAGAAATTGGACCTGTGATGCTTAATCATCCCATTCTCAGAAGTAATGGGCTGTATTTGCTGTAGTGGATTTGCTTCCCAGCAGCCTGATCCTGTCAGGGTATCCATCACACCCTGCTGCTGTGAGTTCTGCCTGCTTGGCTCCCAGCTGCAGCTCCTGTTTGCCCTCTGCTACCCCTGTCCTGGGCTCAGAATACTGCTGGCTCCACCAGCTACACCTTCCCATGGAAAGACAAAGCTGCCTGGCTTCCATACTCTGTCTGCAGTTCTCTGTGACAGTCCCAGCCCTGTCTGTAGCCTGCAGGAGGCAGGAAAAGCTCTGAGTTGAAAGCTGGCAGGAGCTGCATGTCCCAGCAGCATGGGGGAGAAGGGGAGTTTGCCCTCCTGTGTCACCACTGGCCAGGCTCTGCCCTTGGATATGAACCTGAGTTTATCTGGCATCTGCCAGGAGTGTCCTTTGGGAGGGAAGCACTTGGGTGCTCCACAGTGTCTCAAACAGTTCTCTTTGAGAGCTACCAGTGATGTCCAAAGACAGTCTGACCTGCTTCCTTTTCAGAGGCAAGGACTGCGACTGACAAACCTTCAGGCTCTGATGCAATTCTGGTATATTAGAATTAGCTGAATTCCTCCTCAGCTCTTGCTGTTGTGAGCTGGTCTGGTTGGAATAATAAATTGAATTGGTTTTGCTTCTTTAGATGCCAGAAATGCTAGCAAATATTCTGTAGTTTTAAAAACTAAGGTTTCACTATTTATATCTCAATTACCTTGTCTTAACCCCATCTTCAACGCCTGACAGCTCTCCAGTTCTTTCCTCTCTCAGGTAGATGGCCAGTGATCTTTTTCATACTTGTAATATTTTTTCTATTATTCACTCTGGTTTTATTTATTTAGCTTTATGCTTGCAGTTTTTGAAAATATTTTTCCCCCCAGTCTTTTTAGGCTCTACACTTCTCCCTGTCTATGTGTCTGTCTTAGCTGGTTATTCATTTAGATAAATTTGAAGTCTTTTCTGATAAGTTTTTATTGGATGATGAGGTGGCAGAAAAGGAGTCATTTCCAGAGAGCCACTGACTTGCTCCACTATGTAAGAGAAGGATTAATGTTTAGAAGATTTCAAATGGCTGCACAGTGCATCCTACTGCTCTGACTTTGAGGACATTTTTCTCTGTTACAGCTGGCATCATCTGTCTTATAATTTATGTGAGGTGAACAAGCTGTTTTAAACCTGTAGGCTTTGTTTAAACAGCACAGTCAGAGATTTATGATGTGTACTCTTGAGATCAATGTAACCTGGGTATCACTGTTAGGTGTTTACCTCAAGCTTTCCGTGAGCCTTGTTTGGAGTGAGGTTTATGCAATGTATGTATTGAGCAGGGGGTCACAGCTCAGACAGTTTGTGGATATTATCAAAAATGCTATCTCCCAGAGACAATTCCTGCCTGTTTAGCTCTATCTCTTGCAGTTACTATCAGAAGGTACCAGGACTGAGAGAGTCTCGAGGTAGTCTGTGTGTAGAGGAGTCAGGCTAGAAGATTTTTGTAGCTGCTGTTTTGTCCTCTCCTTTATTTATGTTGCATGTCAAGATACAGCAACATTATCAGTGAGTGGCACCTGGAGTGTCCAAGCAGGAGGTGGCTTGCCCTGGTGACACAGATTATCTGAGTCCATGTATCACCTTCCTGCACCTGTATGTGCAGGAATCTTTCACATGGTGCCATTCCTGAATGTCCAAATCTGGGTGTAAAGTCTTGGCATTGACAACCACGTTTACCTTCCTTACTGTGCTTGATAATAATCACACAATTCTTAACCCATAGTATGTACAGCCCTGTTGAGGGTAGCTGTGGGCTGGGCAGAGAAATAGATTTGTGAGTCTTTTTACAAGTGCCTGAGAGAAACAATCATCTCCAGCAGCAGTGGGAGCTTGATCCTGACATGTGCTGGTTGTTTTTGTGCTGCCTTAGGGATGGCAGGAGGGGACTGGGCATTGTTAAGCTGCCATCCCTTATCTGCTCAACATCTTCAGGGAATGCAGCAATGACCCTTCCTCCTGGCACACCAATCTACATCAGGTGACAAAGGGGAAAGTCCCCTTGCCTCTGGACTTAGACACAGCTGAGCTCTTCTGGGAGTTTTCACAGAACCCCATGGGAATTTTGCTTCCTCTGCCCAAGTTCTCTTTGTGTTGTGTATTTGTCTCTTTCTCCCGTTACTTCCTTCCTGCTGTGCTGGGCTGTATAAAATTACTACATTGGTCACAACATAATTGCAAAACATCAAGAATTTATTCATTTCCAAGTAGCATAGAGTCTAAAGTTAGGCGCCACCTTCGTGTTTCTTCATTCTCATTTTAAATCAAGCGAATTTATATACATGTTTTCAGACATCTGTATAAATTATGCAACCATTCAGGGAGTTTCCTGTTTACACACAATATTTCCAGAAGCACTCAGAAAGATTCCCACGTTTCTTGTACTGTTTCCTGTCCTTGATCAAGAAGCGTCCCAGGAAAGCGTTTCGAGGATGATTCCCGTAGAAAGTCTGAAATCAAACAGCATTGGAGAGGTTGCTGCTGGGTGGTTCCCAGAGGGAAAGTACACTCTCCACTGCCCCAACCCTTCCTGATGCTCTGTGCTCTGGCTGGGGGAAGGAAGGGACTGCCCAGTGTAACCTCTGTTTTGCATGTCCCACCAAAACTCATCCCTGTGTTCTGCGTTTACATTTAATTCAGCAGGAAGTGAACAGGGATGGTGTTCTCTGTGTACATTAAGGTTCATAACAACTCTGATTGTACTGTGTAACCTGTGCTGGGGGTGGTGGTGGTGGAAATACTGGTGCCTGGGCTGATGAAGCTGGAAATTGGCCTTTCCAGTTTTTCTAGGGGAAAAAAAAAAGGGGAGGGTTTAGAATTAAATGGATTATGTGCTCTCTCTTTTTTTCCATTTTCCATTTTTCCCCCCTCCCCTGCCTATCTAACTGCTAAGTGATTCCAGCTTCAAGAACACTCTGTCATACGACTTTAGTCTATACTGTTTGTGAAGTCTGTTGATCTGAAAGGATTTCTTGGTAACAATTCTGTGTAGTTTAGTCTTATTTTTCTTTTTTCAGTGACAGATGGTAATTTATTTACCTCTTTGATATTTTCCCCTGGGTTGTAGTTGCTGGGGGTGAGACCTGTTAAAGGAGAGACACAATGAAATGTTTTACTATTTAGAAATCATGAATTAGGCAAGTAATTCTCCTGTGCCATAATGCTACAGCTGACAGAGGTCTCAGACTGGGATGTCCAAGGATAACCTATTGCTTCCCAAACCATCCATTGCCACTGATTCTGCACTATCTGCAAGTACTGATGCTTTGTCAGACTGCTATTTTGTTCTGTCTGCCAGCTCCTCTTAGTCCAATCTTCTCCTTGCCCTGGTTTTGCTCTCTGGAAGTTTTGCAGCACTGATTTGGAGAATTCATGAGGTGGTGTTGAGCTGCAGGCATGGCTGCTCAGCAGGTTTCCCCAAAATCCCAGTTAACTGAATGACAGCTGTTTGTTGCTTACATATAGTGTTGTATTTTAGCAGATACCTGGGAGCTGGGGTGTGATATCTGTGGGAGCTGGAGGTGTGAACCATGGGCATCCTCCCATTGCTGTGCTAACTCCTCACCTGCTTTGCTGTCCTCAGTCAGTGTGCCCAGGAGCTCTGGCAGGAGCTGGAGCAGGGAGGTGCTGCCCAACCTCTCCAGGTTTAACCTCGAATCTTCATCAGCTGCCAAGGGAACAGAGCAGAAACAGGCACAGGGTGAATCTTTTGCTTTGCATCCCTGTTTCAGTGTCTCAGGGGATTTCTGATCAGGTTTGTTGGCCTCACCTGTCGAAGATTTCATGAAAGCACCAGCCATCCATCCTTATTTAATTATTATAATAGGGTATAGTTGGCTTTGTATTCCTTTCCTTCCAAAGCTTTGAGAAAAGGTATCTTCCTGATATTAATCTCAGGTTCTTCTTTCTCTGGCTGAAGTTTTGTTATGAAAGTTTTTGACCAAAAGCAGTCCCTCCTGTCACTTGAGGTACTCAACTTCTTTCTTCCACTACACAGCCTAGACTTGTATGTAATTTTAAACATTTTACTTTAGTTCATTTCTTTATCTACTAGTTCCTATGCTGCAGCTTTCCTATGGATAAAGACAAAACTTCCTGTTCAAGACCTATAACCTGCTCAGTTTTGCAAATGCTAAATGCAGAACAAGTTGTGGAGGGGCAGGAACAAAGGTAGGAAAACTTAACAACTTATTTTGTCAGCTGGGCTTCTTGGTGTGTTTCAGTCATCTCTCTTTTAATGTGTGTATCAGTACAGATGTTACTAGTTTTTCCAACACAACAGCTCGCTGGTAGCTGATAGAATTAATTTGTTTATGCATAAAGAATTCAGAATTCTGTGGCTGGCCTGTATCCTGAGGCAAGTTGCCAACAGAGCCCCTTAACAGTGCAATATTCCAGGTAACTTCTGCTTTTGTAATCTGAGCAGTAAATTTCATCTTTGCTATTACGTAGCAGACATCCAAACTTGTGGGCAACCAGAGGGTGTCATTATCAAACACTATTTGTGTAGATGAATATAATTTTGTAATTGTACTTGTAGGTGACCCTTTGGAGTTTCAGTTGTTCTGACCTTCAGGGATGGGTGTGACTGTGGAGCTCCTCACATGGATATGTAAGAAAATAAACTGAAAATAATCTCCCAACATTTAAAAAACTTGAACAAAGATCAGGAATTTGAAGAGGTAGGACATGCCTGTTATTAGTTCATTCTCTGCAAATAAAGACATTTGCAAAGGACAGCGGGGATTTCATTACAGGACTCAAAATAAGAATACAAAAAATTCCCAGTACTATGTGGAGACAATCTGTATCTCTGGCCATGGCTTATTCTTTAAATCTGAGCTGTGCTAGCTGGTAAATTTGCTTTGAGATTTAAAAAAGGAAAAACCCAACCCAAAACCAACCTTCTTTAAGACCGTTCCTTTTCTGTCTTCTCCCTCCTAGAGACTCTTTATATTAGCAAGGAAGATCTAAGAAGCACAGTGACTTGAACTTAATGTAATAATGGTTAGAGCCAGCTATGATGTGACAGATATTACTCATATTGAGTCAGGGGTACCTGTAAATGTAAATTACATTGTGGAAGGCTTGAGGAGATGCTGGCTTAGAGAGTCCAAGATTTTCAAAGCAGCCCGGGGACTACTGATACCTATAAAGCAGCACAGCAGCTGCTGCAAAGCAGGTAAGAACAGCCATTTTTAATAGTCAGCTTTATGCAATTACTTCTGGGTTGGTTTGCCTGTTCTTTCAGAGCTCATTTCAGAAAGTCTTCCAGTACCAATCAGGTCTGATGATAGTAACCTTCCAGATTCTGCTGTGCATTTTTTTCTGAGCCATTTCAAATTTTGAGCATTGCCTTACTCAAGCAAAGATTTATTTTTGCCTGGGCTGAATGGAATCTGAATTAGTGCAAACAAAAAGCATTCTTAATACATGGGAGTGTAAGAGAGATTTGCCTGTTCTTGATGTTTGCAATAGGTTCCCCCCTTTTTAAACACAAAATAGCTTATTTCAAAGGATAGAAACAGGAGAGACTGTACAGCCAAGTTTCTTTAAGTTACCCAATGCCTATGAGTGCTCAGACACTCACATTTGGTGCTGCAAGGCTCAGACACCTTTTTCTCCTCAAAGCTTCCTTTTGTTTCCTGGATCTCAGCAGGGGTAAATATTTGGGGCACCCAACCTCCCCATTGTACAAAACCAGCACCCACTGCTATGTCCCTTGTGCTGCTGGTGTCCTCCTGCTTTCCCCACAGCTGAGCAGCACAGGCAGGCCCCTTGGAAAGCACACCTGCTGCTTTTCTGGTTTGATGCTCCAACCCCTGCATGATAACCATGACAATCAAAAGACTCTTACCTGAGTGTTGATAAGACATCTCACTGGCATTGATGATGGGGAGAGACAAGAGAGGACAGGAGAAGCTGACGATAATGAGACAGCAAAGTATCAGTTTATTCATCGTTGCTGTGTTGGATGTTTCGTTGTGTCCAACCCTGTCACTCAGAACTCCTGTCTAGCTGTAGCCTCAGCTCCCAGTTTCTCCCATTATATAGCCACTCATGACCTCATAAATACCATCATGTTCTCTCCCCCCCTTCAAAAAAATACCCAATGAATTTATTGCCCATTGATTCTAAATGGAAACCACTTTGCATTGATGTAATTTTTCAAGGTAACAGTTCATAGACAATAAATTTACTGTCTTATAGCTTGGTGTACAAAATGGATATTATATCAAACCAAGCACAGTAAAGTTTATAAATCTGGCATTTAAAAAAAAGTAACTTTCAGTTATAAATCATGAGTTAACAAAGGGTCAGACGTTGGTTGAAATGACCAGGGCAATAGACAACTGATTTATGAGCCTTAGCAGTCTTGACGCAAAGCATCTGATATGAAATGCACTTTTTTTTCCCTTCTCTTTTGTGAGATGGATGAATGTGTTGTGTTGTATTTGTTGTGCCAGAAAAAAGTAAAAAAAGAAAGGGAGTTAAAAAAGCTTGTTAACTTACAAAGATAATACTAGGATAATTAAATCTTTTTCATTTGTTTTGCTCCCCCTTGCAGAATTTCACATCTATTTATTTGGGAAGGCCTCATCCAATGGTGCCCTAGAGAATTGTCTTGGCAGAGAAGTACAGCTTCCATCTGGAGACTTCTTGGTACATATAAACTACTTCGGGTGATGTTAAACACAAGTCCCTCTGTAGAGTGGAAGACTGTTTTCCATTTCACTTACCTTCTCTTTCATTTGGAACTAACTACTTAATTCTGAGTATGTTAGCAAGGTTTTTCCCCTGTTTGCCTATTGCTACCACAGGAGTTGCCTTATGTCATCTCATCACTTTAGTCCTTGTTCCCCTCCATCTAGCATATTTTGTCTCCTTTATTTACCATTTGATTTAGCATCTTACAGAGCAAGGGCTGACTGGACTGGTCCCTCACCTCCATCCTCTATGCAGTGTCATATCCAACTCTATAGAGTCTTGACAAAAAAGGTAAGTTTATGGCAATATTCTTCCCTTTTAATGGTAAGAAGATAATGCCTTTTTTTAATAAATTGAGGTTTGTTGCTTTTGTGCTTCTCTACTCAACTCTTTTTGTCTCCAAATGCTCTTCAAAATACTATGAAATCCAACTAATGTTAAATTTGTTTCCTTATGCTGAATTTTGTGATAAGTTTAAGTTGCAAAAGGTGTCAACTTACCTGCTTTTCATCTTTTTTTTTTAATTAGCATTTCCTGTCAAAGATTAATTTTTATTTTGTACATCCTGTGGCTCCTAGGACTAATTTCAAGTTGGCTACATCAGTCATATAGAACAGAAGTATTTCTGCTGCAGATCTAACTCCAGGGGAGCAGGCACCCCATGGGTGGGCTAAGGCTAAACACAGTGGGCTCCCAAAGAGGCTGAGTTTGGAAAGCACCTCTGGAAATCTGATATTCTAATTTCCTTGCTCCAGGCAGGGTCAGCCACAACAGTTGGTCCAGAACTGTGTTTAGTCAGGTTTGAATAGATCCACGGATGGAATGGGATAGAATTTCGAAACTGAGCTTGACAATGCCCTTGGCATCCGCATGAGAGTTCAATGCTGTGATCTGAGTGCACAGGTGGGGTATTGGAGAGGTGGGAAAGGACCTGCAGAGGTCCTGCCAGCCTAAACTTCTCTAAACTTCCCTGTGTGCACAGAGAGGGCTGGTATTTGGCTTGCCTTGACTATTGAACATATGCTTCAGGTATCTGAACTACAAATCCTGTTTCTCTGGACTTTTCTTTGCTGATTGCAACTTTTTTTTTTCACTTCTCTTTGATGTTTACAACAAAATAGTTTTCTACAGAATTAACTTAATGTGTTTCATTCCCCTTTCCCTGTGCTTCCCTATGAGAGAGATAAGTAGCAAGAGAGGAATTCTCTCTCCTCATCTGAGTCATGCAGCTCTTCGTTCCAAAACTGCAGACAGTAATTAGGTCTGATTTGATGCATGATCTCACTGTTGGTGCTGGATGCTCTGTACAAATGCTTCTCCTTCAGTGAACTATCAATGACAATGGTATTATCAATATTCACCCTAGGCATCCTCCAAGGAAAGCTAATGAAGCACTCTTACCAGCAACTGCTGTCCTTTGTCTTTCCTCAAGGAAGACTCAGCCTCTCCGAGCCATCGTGGAGTGCGTCATGCTCAAGTTGGGCAACCTGCCCGCAGCCTATTGCCTCTGCTGAGCTCTGAAGTTGTCACTTAGCCACTCTTTCCTCTCCCAAAATGTCAAAGGCATCTCCTCGGGCGACAGTGCCAACGTCATCATGCCAGGCAAGGAAACAGCTCATCCTAAACAAAGGTACACAGCCCCAGATCCAGGGGAGAGGGGAATCAATGGGAATGGCACTTGGAAAACATGGAAATTGATTTGGAACTCTTCTACAGTTGTTTGTGGGGAAAGTTTTCCAAGTGCTTATTTATGCTTATTTAGTCTTTGAAGTGCCTCAGGGCAGCAGTAGATAGAATTTGTTCAGTAATTTGTCTAACCCTACTACTGCAATTTATCTAAGACATAAATATACGTTAAACTATCCTAAAAGATTATCCTTCATTATCAGAAGAAACAATAATTCCTAGTTTAACATGATGTCTCATGAGGAACAAGTTACTAGTAAAGCCAGGACAGCTTTAAAAAAAAAAAAAAAGACTCAATGAAACCAATCACAAACATCCCCAAGAATTATCTACTTCTGTGTAAAACAGTACAGATGAAATGTGATCTATAATGCAACAGTTCTTCCCCCTGTTGCTAAGTGCTTTATGGCAAGCAAGTGTGAGTTGTTATTAGTCAAGTATTATGACAGTTGGCAAAATCAGGAATTGGAAAAGGTGTGATTTACCAGTAGCATTTGTATGAGGGACTTATTCAGAGGATGTAATTTCTAGTGTAAAACTTTAGTGTGAATTTAGTTTACAAGAAGAGAGGTGTACAGTAGAATGATTTTGTATTGGCACTGTAATTGCAGATGAGCTTGTTATTGTATGAATAGCCATCTCTTCCTTGAATTTACTACCATTTTTGACTTAACATGTTGCTTCAATGAGTTATACATGTTGGCTGGAAAAACATCTGCAAAGTTATTCATTTTTCTGGTAGGGCCTATTGTTATAGGGGTTTGGATTTTTTTGCTTTGCTGTCACTGCAGATATCTGTTCTTCTTAACAGCTAAAAAGTTTATTTTCACTTAAAGTTTAACATTTTAGCTGATTATTCAGCTATGTAACATGATTACCAGATCTATTTTGCATACTGAAATAGCTAATATTGTTAGATCATATATGCAATAAGGTGTTTTTTTTCTGCTACCAAATTACATTGCCCTATTTATACTATACCTTTTAATGTGTGCTGAAAATAGTCTGTTTGGAGAATAAGGAAGCCAAAGGAAAAAACTAGCCATAACCTGCTGTTAACATTTTTCTTGAAGATGCTTCCTCTGTTCACTGTGTGTGAGCTGTAATGCATAGGAGTATTTAATCTTCAGAATTTCTTTCTATGTTTTGTAATACTTCTGAGAGGTTCTGAGGTGGGTTGAAGGTGTGTAGGTGAGTATGTGCTTGCCTGGATACACACCCTGGTGTGATGAAGAGGACGGGTCCTTAGGTCTCTCTGAAGATTTTCTATTTTGCTACAGAATTGGCAAGGTCTAAAAATTCTTGAGCACAGGATCACAGCTGCCAAAACACTTCTCCTTTGTAGTATAGTTTCCACCAGTTGGAGGGGAAAAAAACCCTCTTCTCTTTGGCCCTGCTGGGCTGGCCCACTGTAGTCTGTGTATATTCTCCAAGTGAAGCTTGACAGACTGGTCCCTGGTTCCCCTGTCCTCTCAGCACTGCAGAATTCCCAACCTGAACCTTCATGCTGCCTGATGTGAAGGAAAGTAAATCTGGCATGACTGAGACTTGGAAATCCAACACGTCAATATCTCATGGGAATTGAATTCTGGATAACGCAGCTGCAAACAGAGGAGCAGAAACTAGATCTTGAAATAAGGTTTCTTTCACCAAAAAAAAAAAAAAGTAATGGAACTAACTATACAATTACAGTTTATTTTTAAACTGAAATTATGACAGCAGGGTGTGTAGGGAAAGAGAGGAACACATCTGCAGCAAGGCTGGAATTTTCTCTGTACCTATCACCTGCAATCTCAAGGTATCTCAAATAATCTGTTCAACTCGAATAAGAAATCATGATCTGGATAAAAGCAAAATAAAAACTTCTTTATTTCATTTTTCTGGTTATTACACTGGTCATCAGAGAAAGGAGCACAAAGCAGCCTTGCTGAAAGGCACAGGCTGTTGGTTAGCTCTGTCCATCCTCCTTTCACCAGCCCCAGCTGCAGAGCAAGCAGGAGGCTTGGGCTCATTTTGGGGGAGGCACACACCTTTCTGTCACACTGCTGCACTTGGAACTGGTAAAATTTCCAAATCTGAGTTTCTTTGTTGCAGAAAACTCTGTCACGAGACATTTTCACGGTCTTCACAAATATTCTTCACAAAGTCTTCTTTACAAATATTTCAGTAATGCGGGGTAGTCCGAATCAGCTCTGAGCCAGCCAGCGCTCCAGTCCTTTCTCCCTGAGGTGGATGAGGAGTGTGGGGGCACAGAGGAGTTGGGAAGAGCAGGGACAGGAGTTGGGAAGGACAGGGATGGGGCCAAGCGAGCTCAGGCTCCCCCCAGACTCTATGCCCAGGCTCGGGGGGCGCTGCTCTGGAGGAGCCACTGCGGGACCTGTGTGGGTTTGGGATGGGCGCAGCTTTGGGTTTGGGAAGGGTCCAGGGTCGGTGTGGGTTTGGGGAGCTGGGGATATGTGCTTGTGTTTGGGGAGGTCAGTGTGTGTGTTTTGGGGGGTCGGTGTGTTTGGGTTTGAGGCTGCTGGTGTGTGTGTGTTTGGTGAGGTTGGGGGGGTCATTGTGTTAGGGTTTGGGGGTGTTGGTGTGTTTGTGTTTGGGGGGTCAGTGTGTATGTGTGGCTGGGTTTGGGGTTGTTGGTGTGTTTGGGGGGGTCAGTGTGGTTTTTGTGTGTGGCTGGGTTTGGGGTTGTTGGTGTGTTTCTGTTGGTGTGTGTGTGTTTGGGAGTGTTGGTGTGTTTGTGTTTGGGGTGTCAGTGTGTGTTTGTGTGGCTGGGTTTGGGGTTGTTGGTGTGTTTGTGTTTGGGGTGTCAGTGTGTACATATTTGGGTTGGGTTTGTGAGGGGTCAGGGTGTGTTTGGTTGGTTTGGGGGCTTGGTGTTTTAGGTTTGTGGGAGCTGGTGTATGTTTGGGTTTAGGGGAGTCAGTGTGTTTGTGGTTGGGTTTGAGGATGGTGGCTGTGTTTCTGCTTGGTTGGGTTTGGGTTTTTCTTCATTTTTCTCTTCTGAAAAAAGGTTTTATCTCTGTTACCTTCTTGCATGCACCCATGTTTTCAGCTAAGTGACTCTTATTTGGTTTTTTGAAGAATGATTCTGTATAATCAAGAGGCTTCTTACTGTGGAGGAAGTACCCATACCATGTATTCCTTAGACATTGTTTTTTCTTGGGTAGCTTCACTGGTAGGAGTCAGCATCACTGCAGGCACTGGGAGTGTATTGGAGGCTCAGCCTGCTAAGGAGCAGTGAGTGGATCAAAGCAAAGGAGACAGGTCAGGACAGAGCTATTATCCAGGAGTGAGTCTTGCATGAGGGCT